CACAAAAGTAGACATGAAGATCAGTAGAATAGAACACAGAATGAAGAAACAACTCCAAACAAAATAAATTACTTCATCTTTAATATAGAGGCCAAAACATACACTGGAGGGAAGAAACCCTCTTTAATAAATGATACTGGTCAAACTGGCTATCCACATGCAGAAGACCGAAGCTAGATCCTTATCTCTCACCATGGGCTAAACAAAAATCAAAATGAATCAAAGAACTAAATTTTAAAACAGAACCTGCTGGAAGATAAAGTAAGAAAAACTCCTGAAGTTATAATTATAGGGAAACACATTATGAACAGAGCCCTAGTTGCATAAGAAATAGTATGAAAAATAAACAAATGGTATCATATCAAATTAAAAAGCTTCTGCACAGCAAAACAAACAATCAACACAGTGAAAAGACAATTTACAGAATGGGAAAAGAATCCTATGCTAGGTATTCCACAGACGGTGGCCTAATAATATAGGACAGTGGTGGCAGACCTATACCATACGTGCCATAGCAGCACAAAGAGGCCTCTTTGTCAGCACGTGAGCCAAGTTATCCTAGCAGCCAACAATGAATAACAGTTGTTTTCTTTAAACTAAAACCTCAGTATTCAGGTTTAATCACAGTGTTGGCATTTTATGATACCTAAATGGGTTTTGAGTGGCAGTGTGGGGACTTGGTCTCTACAAGGTTCACCATCTGTGATCTAGGATATAAAAAGCACTAAAAAAATTAGACCTCCAAAATAAAAGAATCAAAAACTGGACGAGTGAAATGAATACAGGTTTCCCAGAAGTACAAATAGTCAAATAAATATATGAAGAGATGTTCAACTCTGCTGGAATTGGAGAAATGCAAATTAAAACAACAATGAAATTCTATCTTACCCCAGAAAGAATGGCAATCATCAAGTAATCAAATAAATGTTGACCAGACTGCAGAGAAAAAAGGAACCCTTCCTTCTACATTGTTGGTGGAAACGTAAACTAGTACAACCACTATGGAAATCATTATAGAGATTCCTCAAAAAACTGTAACTAGAAATTCTGTTTTACCCAACTATTCCTGTTCTAGGTATCTTCTCAAAAGAATTAAAAGACATCCATCATATTACGGTGGTCCATGCATACCCATGTTTACAGCAGCACAACTCATAATAGCTGCATCTTGGTAGTGGCCTGCAGGTCTATCAACAGATGAATGGGTAAAGAAAATGTGGTATTCATCCACAATGCAGTCCTACCCTGCCATAAAGAAAGACAAACGAGTCATTTGAAGGAAAATGGGTACAATTTGAGACCATAACATAGAGTGAAATAAATCAGTCACACGAACTTAAATATCCCTTGGCTTCTCCCTATATGAGAAATCCAAATTATAAATAAAGAGCAAAATAGAAGACAGATAATAGAAGTAGGGAGACAGCTCTTTCACAATGGGAAGGGGAAAAATAGATTGAAGGGGCGAGTAGCAGGTAAGGAAAGGGGATGAGAAAAAGAATAAAGATGTGTGCTGTACCTGTACCAAATGCACACAAGGAATATAAACATTATGTACTGCAAATATGTACTAATAAAATGATCTGGAAAAAAAAAGAATTTCTGCAATGATAAGATGTAAGTCCTGTTTAAAATTTACTGCTTATAAATACAATGCTGTGAGGATTGATAACTTCCTTCCTGATAAATTTCTAGACAACCCATTATTGAATTAAAAGATATGCACACTTTCATGGCTACTATTATATGTAGCAAATATCTTAACAGCAATATTACATTAGCATGTGCTTTTATAACAGTCTGGAATAAAAGGCTCAAAGAAATGGGTATCAATAGTCATTTAGGGGGCTGGGGATTTAGCTCAGCGGCAAAGCGCCTGCCTGGCAAGCGCAAGGTCGTGAGTTCGGTTCCCGGTACC